GGGGGGGGGGGGGGGGGGGTACAGTCTAATATACTTGCCCGTCGCGTGCTCCTGGGACCTGGTTTAATCAGAAACACCTAACTTGGATTCATCTGAAAGAGCGGCATGACATCCTCACGTGACAGCATCTTCGTCCAGCTCTTGAACACAAGCCCGTCCGCAAGACTCGTAGATAGGTAGTTGTCAAAATTATGGTNNGGGTCCCCTAAATAATAGGTGCCGTACTATAATAAGGACCCAAAAAGGGAACATAATTTTGACAACCACCCAGATGCTTCCGGTCTCCTCTGCAGCTCGGTCAAAAGTCGGCGCCTGTTCAAACGCATGTTCAGGCCGTCAGTTGGCCTGGCTGTGGCTCACTCTGGACGAGGACGCCCGCTAAAGCCTTGTAAGCCCTAAACGCTGAACCCTAACCCTAAGCCCAAAGCCCTACTAAACCCCGTAAGCCCTAAACCCTATAAACCCCATAAACCCTATAAACCCTATAAGCCCTATAAGCCCTACAAACCCTATACACGCTATAAGACCTATAAACCTCCTAAACCCCATGAACCCTACAAACCCTATGAGCCCTAAAACCTGGATCCAAAAGTCTCTCTGCCCCAAGTCTCAAGGCTCGACAGAGAGGAGACCAAAAGCTTCCCGGTTCGCTTCGGGGCTCACAACTGCCAGCCTATAAAGGTTTAGGGTTCAGGGTTCAGGGTTCAGGGTTTAGGGTTTAGGATTTAGGGTTTAGGGTTCAGAGTTTAGGGTTTACAGTTCAGGGTTTAGGGTTGAGAGTTTGCGGTTTAGGGTTTAGGGAATAGTAGCACTCGTTCTCTCCAGCCCTATATTATCCCAGGGGCCCTTGCACAGTTAACCTCAGACTTCACCCGACAGACATGAGGATATCCTTAACACCAGCCTCCTCAACGGGTTTAGGGTTTCGAAGTGGTCAGAAACATTCCAACTAATAATAGCAACATTGTAAGAAACCGACACAGTTTACATCAGAATCACAAGAAGATGGGTTCTGGCACCTTGATGACAGCCAAAAACATGCGAATGGAGCTCACGGTTCAGCTTAACCAAATCCTGCAACATCTTAGCAACACCAGAATCGGAAAACGCTACCGGCCCAATAGCACCCTATCAAACCGTAACAGAATCCGGATAAAAACCTCCAACAAGCCAAGAACAACATGACAAAAATCCTAGAAACCAATGGCAGAGCCCTCTTTATTTAACCCCCTGTAAAACACGAAAAACCCTAACACAACCCGCATAAGCCTACGCAAAGTTTCGGAAAACAAATCGAATTCCCATAAACCCTCCGCCCGGTACGCCCTAAACCTTAAACCCTAAACCCTAAACCCTAAACCCCTAAACCCCTCAACCCTGTACTCTAAACCCTAAACCCAGAGAGAGCCCTAAGCCTTGAACCCTCAGAATGACTCTTGCAGAGCCTCCAAAGAACCTTCGTACAAACCCCGTACCGAAACCTTCTTAGGGGCTGAGTACCCTAGCCCGAAAAAGGGTTAACCTTCTCAATTATGGTAGGATTATATCAACCCAAAAGGTTATTATAAAGGTTACCTACTCAGCCGCGAAACCTTGAAAGGAACCCTTTATGGGAGTTAGTCCGAGGAGTCGGCATACCCCTGGGTCTGACTCCGGAGATTCTGCAAATTCTTCAGCTGCACCGGACTCAACTTGTCCACCTTGGCCTTCTTGGCGATGAACTCGAGCTTGAGCATCCCCCCGCGCCTTTGCTTGTCCGCCAAATTACGGAAGGCCCGAGTAGGCTTCAGCAGGGACAGCTTCGCCGCATCGTTCTCGCACGCATTCAAAACAGCCTCCCCACCGTCGACCCAAGCACCTTGGGCGTCAGCGCAAATAAAACAATAGTGGAACAACTGGGCTGGGACGTCTTGGCCATCTTTGTACCTCCGGGGCTCTGCGGGGTTCTCATCCTCCATGGCTGATGTACTCGGTGCTGCTGCGGCCGCCGAGACCAATGTACTTGCTGCTGCTGCTGCGGATTAGGGGGGCCCTTAGCGATATAGACCCTCTCAATGAGGTCCCTTTTCAGAGTTCCATGCGTAGGGTTAAGAAGGGTCCCCTTATACTACCAAGGACTTTATCGAAGCCCTGAAAGCCGTCGAAGACCTTGAACACACCTATCAAACCACACCTTTGAAACATATTGAAACCCTGGGAACCAAGAAACCTTTAAGACACGCTACCCTCAAAGAGGAACTCCGAAACATTAAGCCAAACCCTAAACCACGAAACCTCAAAGCCTAAACCCTAAACCCTAAAGCCTGAACCCTTAAGCCCAAACCCTAAACCTTAAACCCTAAACCCTAAACCCCCGAAACCCGGGTGCCTGCAAACGCTTGGCAGTGCTCAGCCTTATTGGGCTGTCACTCCCCATCTTCCCTGACACGGCGCTGTTTTGGGATTGGGGTTTAGGGTTTAGGGTCTAGGGTTTAGGGTTTAGGGTTTAGGGTTTAGGGCGCTGTTTTGGGATTGAGGTCGAGGGTTTTAGGGTTGAGGGGTTTAGGGTTTTGGGTTTTAAGGGTTGAGGGGTTTAGGGTTTTAGGGTTTTGGGGTCTTGGGTTTTAGGGTTGAGGGGTTTGGGGTTGAGGTGGGTTTTGGGCTTTAGGGTTGAGGGGTTGAGGGTTTGGGGTTGAGGGTTTAGGAAATTTAGGGTTGCGCTAGGGAACCGAGGATCCTATACAGATTGGGGTGTTGGGGTTTAAAGCCTTGAGATTTCAGGCTTCGGTTTTTTCCCCAATAAGCCAGGGAAGTAAAAGGTTAAACTTTCAGATTCCTACTAAGTTATAAGAACCCCAAAAGTTAAAGTTTGGGTATTGGAGACCCAAGTTTTGTGGTGTTTCAGGGTTTTAGGGTCGAGGGTTTTCGGCTTAAGGGTGTTAGGGATTTGCGGTAGGATCCCAAACCGTTTAGGGTTTAGGGTTTAGGGTTAGGTTTAGGGCTTTGGGCATTAGTAAGGTCTATCTGGGGCAGGTTTGAAAGGGTTCAAGTGGTATTTGAAGGGGAAACATTACTCCTACTTGGGGCTTCATAGCTAAGGAACCTGAATGGGGGGTTGCAGGCTATAGGGTTTAGGGGAACTTGAATACAGAAGCTCAGAATCCACGTGAAGAAGGCAAAGGATCACTGTAGAATCACTGCCAGATGAGCTTTTGGTAAAGCCATTACGAGGAGTTTCCTAAACCCTAAACCCTAAAACCCTAAACCCTAAACCCTAAAACCCTAAACCCTAAACCCTAAACCCATTAGGGTGCAGGGCTGGAGGTTACGAACATTCTCGCAACGGCCTGGTCACTCTATTGTGATTGTCCCGCTCCATTGAAAATGCTGCGGATGTTAGGAGTTAGGAGCCACCGGCCTATAATCAGCCCTTCGGGCACAGAAACCCTAAACCCTAAAACCCTAAACCCGAAGCCCTAAACCCGAAACCCCTAAACCCTTAAGCCCTAAACAGGAAGCCCTAAACCCGAAACCCCTAAACCCTTAAGCCTTAAGCCCTAAACAGGAAGCCCTAAACCCGAAACCCCTAAACCCTTAAGCCCTAAACCCGAAGCCCTAAACCCGAAACCCCTGAACCCTACGCCGGCGGGAGCTGCTGGCGCTTTTTGGGACGGTGGCTTGGGGCTCGGCAAGTTGGGGGCTTTGGGTGTTGGGCTTCTTGGGTTTAGGCTTAGGGTTCAGGGTTCTTGTTGATTTTTTGAAGTGTGTAGGGTTCATGGTTTGAGGTTTACGGTTTCGGGTTTAGGGTTTAGGCTTAGGGTGTTGGGGGTTTGGGCCTTTAGCGAAAGGGCTAACGGTTAGGGCTTGCACTTTCAGTATACTAAGACTGTAATATAGAAGCAAATTCTGTACCAACAGAAATATACGAGACATAGACGGCCCAAGGGATTATTATTATTGTTACAAACACCACCAAACCACCAAAACATATAAAACGTCCCCGAAACGTTCACCAAGAACATATGCGAGAAATAGAGGATCCAAGGGATTAGGGGGCCTAGGATGGCCCAGGGGTTTACCCATAGGCCCTAAACTAGTTCCCTTTTTTGGGTTCATATATAGACTCCTATAAGGCAACGCCAAAAAGGAACTACTATGGGGCCCTAAACCCTAAACCCTAAACCCTAAATTATAAGTGTGGAGATTCAAAGTTTAGGGCTTTTGGGGGGGTGTTTAGGGGTTCAGGGCTTTGTCGGTTTGGGAACCCGGCCCCTCCACCCAAACCCCGAAGCCCTACGACACCTTAAAGCCCCAAAAGCCTAAATAAGCCCTAAATTTAGGGTTTAGGGTTTAGGGTTTAGGGTTTAGGGTGGCTTTAGGGTGTAAGGCCCTCAACCCTAAACCCCAAACTTTGCCCCTCAACGCAAACACAACAGCTGTGCCTCCGATGAAGGATACCTCCTCGATCGGGTGTGGATTAGGATAGGACTTCGCTGAATCTGTGAAAGAGGCATGAACCGCTCGAAAGGGACTAGAGAGAAAGATCCGTGAACGACCCGAAACAGATTAGAGAATCTGAGAAAGAGCCGTTAAGGTTCGATAGGGCTTCTACATTAGAGGGGTTCGGGTTTAGCTTAAGTCGAGTTGGTTCTGCAATGGCGATCTTCGTCTGCAATTGTGGTGTCTGAGGGGTCTGCGGTGCGAGCTCTGACCACTATGAAAGCTTTCACAAGACAGGTACTACTAGGGGCCTCACTATGTTGAACCACATTTCGTAGTACATAATCCCAGAAAGTGGCAACATATGATGACAACCATCAGGGTGTCGCCTATAAGGTCTAATGTAGGGGCCTTAATAATAAAAAAATAGGGGTTTGGAGGTATATTATACTATAACTATACTCAGGAACCCCAAAAGAGTATATGAAATTATTCAGGCCCTATAGTATAAGGTCTGGACTTCCAGGCTTTGGGAAGGTTCAGTCGCAGGTGACTTCGCTCATAGGGTTTTAAGACGACGCTATAACGGGCTGTAGGTCTTGTATAGAGCCATGAATACACCTAAACCGTAAACACCTGAACCCTAAACTCACCCCAAACCCTAAACTTCCCTAAACCCTAAACAGTCCATAATTGGGGGGAGAATACAAATGATCGAGGGCAGGAGGAGCCTTAGGATACTAAAGCCCGCACCGTAAACCTAAGGGTTTAGGGTTTAGGGGGCCCAAAAGACCAACCTTTTTCAGGAACACAGCCTTGTTTTGGGGTTCTCTATACAGAAACCATAAGAAGGAACCCTTAAAAAGGTAGGTCTTTTCGGCTGCAGGTAAGGCCTTAACCCCTAAACCCCGACACCCTCATTCCTAACCGCCCCAAAGCTCAAACCGACAGTGACCCGCATGGTGTGCCAAGAAGAGAAGCGAAGCCAATCATGTCGACCCACCACGTAGGTTCCCACAATAGACTCTTAGACCATCATGTCAAGGAGATCCGTATTTCTTGTAACTGATACTCATGTTAGAATCAAGGAGGATAAGGAAGTACATGGGCTTTTTGGCCTGTCAGGGGACAGGCTACCGATTGCAAGCACTAACCCTAGTTAAGTTCGTCAGAAAAAGAACAACAAAACACGTACACGGTACGTGACGTAGTTCTCAACAACGCCCCAACACGTTGGCCATAAAGCTCTTTAGTCACTAAGGCCTACATTAAACCTTGTTTGAAAACCTTATCGAGCCGTTTTAAAGAAACCAAAATCACCAACAACAATGTGGTCGATCAGAAGTGCCTCCTCGTCGGCCAGGAGCTGTCGAACCCGCAACCTTCCAGGCACTCAGGGTCTCCAATGAGTCTTGCTTTGAGGTTCATGGGTAGCTACACTGACCCATATTTGGTTTAGGGTTTAGGGTTTAGGGGTTTAGGGTTTAGGGTTCTTGGAGGTTCATGGGTAGTTATAAATGGGGTTATAAGTAGGGTAACTATGGTTATAACCCATATTTGGGGGCTTATAACCCCACTGATAACTGCCCATGAACCTCCAAGTGTGCAATGATCCGAAGCGGTTTTATGCAGGTTTTGGGGTGGAAACTGAGAAAGCCGACAAGCCCAAAGCCGTGTCTCAGACCCTGGCCAAGCTGGAGGACGAGATCAGAGCCAAAGGCAAGCTTTCTAATTTGTGTAATTGCTGTATGGGGTGTGCTAGCGTTTGGAAAATATTTTATGAATTGGTTGCAGGATTCCCCGAGTGTAAGTAACACGGCTACATCATAATCTGGGTCCCTCAAAGACCAGAATATCGGGGCCTTAATGATTTGAACAGGGGTTTGGTGTCCTTTATAGCATAATTACAACAAGGACACCCCCACAACAAAAAAAATATAGATAATGATTAAGGCCCCTATAGTACATAGCTAAGCAAAGCCCATTTTCGCAGCATCTCCAAAAGCAATAGTATTCCTTAGTGTTGCTTATTAGAGCTATACTAATTATTAAGGCCCCTTATAGTAACCCTTAACCCCAAAGCAGTTTCACTTCTCAAGGGCTGCCAATACCGATCCTATAGGGTTCAGGTTCAGGGTTTGGGGTTTAGGGTTTAATTAGAATGGGGTTTTGGGGTTCCTTGAAAGGGTTTCTTAAAGGATTCTATCAAGGCTACTATAAGGCTTTGGGGTTTAGGAGCCTAGATAATTAGAACAGGGCTTTGGGGTCCATTTTACTATACTTACAATAAGGAGCCCCTAAAATAGTATTGGGAATTATTGAGGCCCCTATATTACTTACCAACAGAATTGTTAGGACCGCTTTTGTGAACCGAAGGGAAAGTATAGGAGAAAACAAGAACCTGCAATGCAGAATTTAGGCTGTGTAGGTAAGGCTTACGATGCGGGTTCTGCGCTTCACGCCACACGGTAAAGCTTTTACCCTTTATGAGACCCTAAAAGCCCTTAATTATAGGCCAAGGCACATGCGCGATCGCATTTCGACGAAGTCTTCTTCTTCACCGACCTTCCAGGGAGGAGTTTGGGGTTCACAGGGTCGGGCTTCGCGGGGTTTTGCGAATAAAGGGCTAGGGTTCAGGAGTTTAGGGTTTAGGGTTTAGGGATTAGGGTTTAGGGCTTTGGGTCTAGGGATCAAGGTTTAGGGTTTAAGGCTTAAGGTTTAGGGATTAGGGTTTAGGGCTTAGGTGTGAAGGGGCTTCGGGCTTTGTCAATATCAATAGGGCTTTGTCAATGGTTAGGGTTTAGGGTTTTAGGGGTTTGGGGTTTTGGGGCTTTAGGGTTTAGGAGTTCTAGGCTTTGTCAAGAAAGGGCTCGGATTCAAGGTTGAGGGCTTAGGGCCCGGTTTAGGGTTTAGGGTTTAGGGTTTAGGGGTTTAGGGTTTAGGGTTTAGGGTTTAGGGTTTAGGGTTTAGGGTTGAGGGCTTAGGGTTTGGGGTTTAGGGGTTGAAGGTCTCTTCTGTTGAGGCCGCCCAGGCTTGCGGTTCATGAGGAACCCCCTAAACCCTGAACCCTAAACCTGAAAGAAAAGCCAACAACAGCCTAACTAACGCACCGAGCCCGAGCTCGGGGTGATAGTTTAGGGTTTGGGGTTTAGGGTTTAGGGCATCGCGAACTTTAAAATGGTACACCACTAAGCTAATTAAGCATTGATCTCCCACTACCCAAGCCTTGTGCCCTTTGGACCCTTACGGATACAAACCTTGCCCCTCAAAGGGCCACGCCAAGGAACGACCCAAGCGAAACCTTGTGGAGTTTAAAGGAACCCTGAAATCCTAAACCTAGTATCCCTTAGAGTTTAAAGGAAGGCTTAGGGTCCTAACCCCAAACCCTCTTAACCCTAAAATCCGAAAAGTAGTACCCCTTGGAGTTTAAAGGAAGCCAGATACTTGGAGGTTCATGGGTAGTTGTAACTGGTAGCCTACTTATACCCCACTAATTACCCTAGACCCTAAACCCCTAAAGCCCTAAACCCCTATAAATATAGTTACCCCACTTATAGCTGCCCATGAACCTCCAAGAACCCTACACCCAAAACACAAAACCCCGAAACCCTAAACCCCTAAACCCCAAACCCCGAAACCCTAAACCCTAAACAGCTAAACCCAAAACCCCAAAACCCATGAACCCTGAACCCCGAATTCATGAACCTCCAAGTAGAACCCAAGCCCTGGCGACCTTCACTGGAGTGTCGAAGTCCAGCGCGCCTGGGGGTGGCTCCGGGTCCCGTTAAAAGGAGTCTCTAAGGGCCCCTAGGGTTCCTTAAACGGGTACCTTTAAAGGGATCTCTAAGGGTCCCTAGGGTTCCTTAAAGGGTTCATTTAAGGGGTACTATAAGGGCTACTACACGGGGTTAGTTAGGGTATAGGGGCCTTAATAATCAGAATAGGTTTTCATAGGTTTCCTTAGAAAGGCAGCTTTAAAGGGATCTACAAGGGTTCTACGGGGGATGTAGTGTGTAGAGACCTTAACCATCAGAATGGGGCTTGGGGCTCCTTTATAGTATAAGTATGGTAATAAGGAACCCTGAGGAACAAGATTGGTAATTATTTAAGGTGTCTATATGACAACTCACGGTTTGTTTTTGGGGTTTTGGAGTTTATATTGAGGGTTTAGGGTTTACGGTTGGGGTTTTGAGGTTTATGCGGTTTAGGGTTTAGGGGTTTCAAGTTTGGGGCTTGTTTTTTTTTCGGCGTTTGTTTAATGTGGAGGCCTTAGGCTTAGGCCTTATGGGGTTTACGGTTTAGGGTGCCATTCCAACCCAAAGCCAGGCATCCTAATTCCTCCTCAACCCTAAACCCTAAACCCTAAATCCTACTCAACCCTAAACCCTAAACCCTAAATCCTACTCAACTCTAAACCCTAAACCCTAAATCCTACTCAACCCTCAATTAAAGCCGAAAGCCCGAAACTGAATTCAAAGGTTTACCCTCGCCTTATGAGCCGCAAGAAAGACGCGTAGACTAGGGTTTAGAGGTTCAGGGCTTAGGGCTTAGGGAGCTACTCATCTAGGCAACGGAAAGGGGATTGAACATGTTTGTACAACACTCTTGCCGGCGTACGGCCCTAAACCCTAAACCCATCAATCTTCGAGGTTTTGGGGCTTGGGGCTCATGGACTGCGGCTTTTAGAGAGAGATTAGAATTTCGGGGCGGAGGGACTACAGGAAATTTGAGGTCAGGATTTCTCAGGACCCCGCTAAATACCCAAACCTGGTCTCTTGAGTGGGGATATTGACGAATCTACCATTTGCAGGGTTGAGGCTACAAGCAGGATTGAGGGCTTGGGCATAAAAGGAAGCGATTCGGCTACCTCGAACTAAAGAGCCCAGGGTCCCCTCTTTGTCGCTTTAACTCGAAACCCTACATTCGACGACAAAGGTACTTTGGACCCTTTGGGACGGAAACAGGATCCTGAACCAACCTCCCTGGATTCACAAATACACCCCCAGAGGCCGGCAAGGGCGTTGAGGCTTTAAGGGTCCAGGTCAGGGTTTGTGGGTGCAAAAGCCAACTCCTCCAGCCCTCATCCCAAGTAATTAGAATTTGGCTTCGGGGTATATCTAAACCCTAAGCCCTAAACCGCTTCGGGGTACATAGTTGCAGTCAGGAACTCTGAGGACTAGTATTGAGAACTGTCCAGGAACTTATATCGAACGTCCTAGACTCTGGCTCTACGTGCCTGGGGTACCCATACCCGGCACGAAGACAGGGGCGTCCGCCCGAAAGGACGACCTCGCGCTTGAGGCAAGGAGGGCGGTGTAGAAGATTCTGCCCAAACAGTCCTGGTGGGTACCTTTGCAAACAATAACAAGCATCCTAAACCCTAAGCCCTAAACCCTTACTTTGTACAGTTGTACATAACCCTAAACCCTAAGCCCTGAACCCTAAACCCTTACTTTGTACAACGTAGGAAATTAGGATGTTTCGGGGCTAGGTTCCCCAGCAGGCCCCAAATAATAAGGGTACCCTTTTTCCTACTACTTGGTGATATTAAGGGAACCTAAAAAGAAAAAAGGGCAAAAGGGCACTACTGGGGGACCTAGGGGGTGGGTTAGGGGATTCACAGAAAGTCGAACCTTCAGGGCCCCTTTTGGGAAACCCTAAACCCTGAACCCTAAACCCTAAACCGCCCTCTTATAACAGTGCCGTACTGTTTTTTGGGGATCTGAAGGGGGCCCGAACTTAGAAAGAAGTTTGGGTTGAAGGTTATAGGGTTTAGGGTTTTAGCGTTTAGGGTTTTAGGGTTTAGGGTTTTAGGGCTTAGGGTTTTGGGGTTTAGGCTTTAGGATTTAGGGATAGCTGGCGTAGCTGGTTTTTTTGGCATTATAGCAGGTTGCAGTTAAAGGTGGTATTTCTCGGGAAGATTTAGATAAGCTCTCAGACTGCAATACACTTCTAGACTGCACGGTCATTTATTTGGCTTCTATAATTCTATAGGATTAGGCTTCAGGTTTTAACTCTGGGTTTAGGAGTGTAAGGGTTCCTTTAAAGGGTCTTATAAGGGTTTAGGTTTAGGGAAACTACTCTGCGCGGTTCGGGTCTCATGGGTGGATAGTTGGCACCCGGTACTCGGGTTATGACGTGCTTTCACCAACAGCTGCAGCGCCTCGTGCCGCAGGAGTACTCTGAGCACAGCTTGGACATGAAAGCCGTCTGCAGCAATAGAACTGCAAAGCCAGCGACAGCGACTCGCTCGCGAGCTTGCGCAGCGTGGTCTGCTCGAGCGTCGTGGCTTGGTCGAGAGGTGCTGCGAGCACACTCAATTTCAGAAGCAGATCGAATTCCAGACTGCAGTTGCCCATTTTGGGCGCTTGCAGAGACTTGAGTGCAAATCCGGGTCCACATCGAGGGCTCCATACCGAAGCATTTCAGGGGTTCGTGATCGACCTGTCCAGTGTCTGCGTATATTCCAAACGGGCCCTAAGCCTAAGCGCCTCGGTGTAAGTATCCCTACCCCAGGAAACTCTTACAATCACTGGGGCCTCATTCTAGGTTGAAGGCCACTACTGCAACAACTCATTTTCACATCCGTACGACTCCCCTCCAAAAAGTCGCGGAACCCGAAATCCTAGACACCAGCTCCGAACCCGATTCCTCAAACAAAACCTGCATTCTCAACCCTTAACTCGCAACATCCTGAAATCGAAGTCCCACAATCTCAGCCCGACATCCTATGTAGTCTTCAGAGCTTTCATAGCAGCAACCTACACAATCTCACACCGTGCACGTTCTCTACAAAGTGACTGTATGGTGAATGGTCAACTTCTCCCCAACCGCCACCCGACCCCTAAACTCTAAATACAGCCTTGTAAGCACTACCCAGACCCAGAACCCAAGCGAGCCACAAAAAAAATCATTACAAAGCCGGTGCAAAAAGCAAACATCCAAACCCCTAATTCGGATGTCTTCTTGAACATACCTGCCTATAGCGAATTCCAACCCCCGAAACAAAAAAAACAAATTCAACACAACCTAGACATACAACACACAGCTCATCTTGACAGAAAGCAAAAGCAGCGCCCCTAAAAAACATCAAGCCCTAATGAAAACCCTTAAATTCTGAAGTCCACAGGGTAACACAAAGATGTGGACCTCGGAGGCGGCGTGAGCACCAGTTGGCTCAGAGCCGTGCCTAAGGCCTCGGACATTGGCAAAGCTTTTTGATGGGGGGAGATCGAGGGTTCAAAACCCTGAGCCTTAAAACCCAGAACCCCAAAACCCTAAACCCTAAAACCCGGAACCCTAAACCCTAAACCCTAAAACCTGGAATCCTAAAGCCCTAAACCCTAAAACCCGGAACCCTACAACCCTAAACCCTAAAACCTGGAACCCTAAAACCCTAAACCCTAAAACTAAAACCCTAAAACTCTAAACCCTAAAACCCGGAACCCTAAAACCCTAAACCCTAAAAACCCTAAACCCTAAAAACCTAAACCCTAAAACCCGGAACCCTAAAACCCTCTAAAACCTTAAACCCTAAAGCCTAGACATTAAACCCTTCTAGGGTTGAGGGAGCTGAGGGCTCAGGGTGTTTCCTTGGGGCTTCGGGGGTTGGGGGTTTAGGCACTCAACTCACTTCAGAAAGAAACCCCCAGTGGTCGAACACCTGAGACATCCACCGGTTGAGGGAATCGGGGTTTACGGTGTAGGGTTTAGGATTTA